GTCGATGCGATTAAGGTCTTGGCTGGCTTGTTTACGAAAAGCATGTAGATCGTCGTACTGTTTACTCAAAAATTCTATAGCTTTAGCTTGTTCTTCGCCTTCGAAGTGATTTGGATTGGCGTTATCTTGTGTCTTTTCAATGGCCGTCTTTGTAATACTCATTTTGTGTGTTTAAATCTTGACTGACTTTATTTAATTGTCTCTTTAAGTCTTGAATCTCAGATCGTAGCAATAGGTTTTCATTCTTAAGAGGGCCTCTCAGTAAAATCCACTCACTGGTTGGGGAAGGAGAAATAGATTTAGCTCGTATTTTGCATATGAACTAGACTTTGGTCAATATTAACCGAGCTTCTTTCAGAATGTTTCAACTTTCTGTTTCATAGGAGTTATAGCCATGTTAAAATTTGGCCTTGCGAGAATATTTTCAGACCGGAAATGAAGGGAAATTTTACAAGAATTCATCTGATTTTTTAAAAACGTTGTGATACGTTTATCCCCTTCAGTTACTGTTCACATGCAAGATTAACAATACTCTCGTTTACATTGAGATTGAACAACTTTATTTGCTTAATACGATTTTTTTTAAAGTTTTACGAAACTAAGTTTTCAAGATGGCGACGAGAGGCTGAAAATTGCTCTTATTTTACGTAAAATAGCTCAAAAGTGGCACCTATCTGAATTTCAAAAGGCATGTAATTTGAAAGTACACCTACCAAAGTTAAGTAATCAGGAATAAAACTCGTCTGCAAGCAATTTTCTGAAAAGTTATAAATCTCCAAATTGGGTCTATTTTTAGCTGTTTGTTGACATTCGCGTGTTCGCTGATCTGCGACACTAGTAATTGAAGAGTTAAAATAAGCTGATTTATTACCCATGAGTAAACTTTTTTAGCTTGTTCAAAAGAATATATACAATTTTGAGAAAATATAATTACAATATACACAAGCGATCGTGTACAGAACATTCTTGAATTCGAATTGCTTTACATTTATGCTTAACTTACACTTGCACTAATTATACACTTTCAATATACACATACAATAGTACAGTTACAACGAGTAGTACAGTGTCTACGACCCTAATATCTTTTAATGTTATTAATAATAAGAACTTCGTCAATACATTGACACAATACCATAATCTCCTGATTATGACCTTGATCTGCCGCTCCCACGGCGGGAGGTGCATGTCTGAACGACCAATGTGAATAGAAAACTTACAGTAAGTGTCTCTGTGCGATGTTTAGGTCATCAAATAGTGCTACAGGTAATATCGGTTTAATGCACTTTGCAGAAACTCCCATGATTTTGATGTCGCTCAATATGATAATCAGAATCCTGTTTTGCGGAAGGGTTGCTATTTTTATGAAAATGCGTGTACTGACCCAAGTCTAGCTCGATTAGACAAATTTGGGTAACGTTTGTTTATACCCAATTCACAACTTTATATAGCACACATGCCTAGTTACTATGGGTCGAATTCTAGACTATACAAAAGCATAAATTAGAGCAAAGGTAACTAAATCTCATTGCACGTTATATAGTCTTATAACTCTTATTGTTAGTTAGTGTCAAAGTTCAATTTTTCTATTTGCCGATTGTCAAAACCGTGTCACGTGCCGGTCCACAAAACCTCATGTTCGGCAACCGGTCGCGGCACTAACCCCTAACCACGAATCCCCTTATCCTAACCAGTAATCCCTAACTCCTAACCCTAACTTTTTTGCACCCATTTTCAAAATTACGCGACCTCCCTGAAAAATACTCTCACTTCGAATGTCAGTTTTATGTCACAAAAACTGCTAAAAATAGCAAACGTAAACAAACTGGCAAAAGACATTTTAAATCGTATTTAATACCAAAACTGAACAAAAATGAGCTAGATAACTTAGATATACCATCTAAAGCACAATACAAACCATCACAACAGAAATATGTGCCGTGAATAACTTTTAAAGTTTGAAAAATAACAATTTATCCTGGAATTTAGCTGTCCGTATAAAACACGCGCGCTAGACTATAACGACATGTTATGATTTTGTTTGTGCTTAAATTTTGCAATAATTCTCACTAAAATATCTTGAAAATCATTGTAAGCATGTTTATATAAGCATACAAAGCATATACATCGACAAGGAACCGCAAAACTCGAAGTTTAAACTTCGTGACCGAATGACATAAAACTGACATGTCAACTCTAGCATTTTCGACCTTGGTCGCGTAATTTTGAAAACGGGTGTAACCGTTTTAAATTTTTTTAACTTTTTTAAAAATCTAACTTTTTAAACTTTTTTGCTTTTTAAAACTCTTTTAAAACTTTTTTAAATACTATTTTTTTGAAAATCTCTGTCTCTTACTGCAGTATTTCTGTTTTTGTAGCGGTTAACAAATTATAGGGAAATACGACGACATAAGTTAAATTTCAAAACTTTTATGTGTTCATATGCAGTGAATCAAACGAAAAATGCATCCTTTGTTAAAATTATTTAAAATACTACAAAAATAAAAACGAACAAACTAAATTTTATCGCCATATTTCTCCATAATTCGGCAACCGCTACAATAATGCAAAAGTCAAAACAAAATAGTAAATGACAACAGACTACAAAAGCAGAAGTGGGAAGGTTGTAGTATTTGGACTGCAATTATGTACAAAAATATGTTGCATCCATGCTGCAAGAATTAATGTCCGACCTTTCCGGCAAAATTTCCATTTGCAGGGACAGAAAAAGATTACGAGACGAGTTGAATAAAAAAGTTAAAGCACCGAACACTTTTTATATACAGCCAGAGATACTGACAGCTTTGAAATTTGCTACAACCACAGAAAGTACTGCCCGATTATACCTTAAAAAGATATTTAACAGTTGTGAAATTATTCATGCGAATAAGCCAAGAATGGTTAAGGTTGTATTTTTAATGTTTTTATGTTGTGAATTAGAACC